ATTTTCTAACACCAATACACGAAACTCATTATAAGATTGCTAAACTTTCCGATATTATTGTGAAAGGATGTACATTTCAATTTTGGCTACTTTTCTAATTTATGGTCTAATGATTCGCTTTATATAATTGTATATTATTCGAAAAAAGATCAACAAATATAGATTGTCACTGCTGAGGAGTCCTATACTAGGACGAAACGGTCGTTCAGTGCTTTCAGGTTTTCTATAGTGGTCTAACTTCAATCGACTCATGATTTCAACTATTGGAATTTCTAAGATCACAAAACTCCTTACTGATAAATATAGATTGTATTAAAAATATATATATCGAATTATTCTGTTGACAGTATGTTAGATCATTTAGTTATGAGAAAATTTTATGCAACTGAAATAAAATAAAAATAATGAGAGTATATAGTGAAAAAGAAAAGAACACTCATTTGTTTTTTGTAAATTTTTGATGATAAATATTTATCAAATGTTTATTGTACCTACTTAAGTTAATTAAACGAAGTTTTATATATTTTTTAAAATATTTTATATATTTATCGTGCTTTGTTAAGAAATAATTCATGTCAAAAAGGGGTATTTGTGCTAATTTAGCTTCTCTTGACTTATGATCTTAACTATTGAAATGACTAGAATATCCACAATATCCCCTTATGATATTATTCAACATATGCCCACTATGTTCACTGACTTAAAGAGGTATTTTCTGGAGTTCTAGTGAGAAGCAGTGAACAGTGCAGTTCAACCGGGTCCGTTATGAGATAGTAACTCACTGAAGACAATGGTGGGTGGTGGCGCAATTTCGTGGATTGGTTGAAGTCAATCATTAACACTGTTGAATGCCGGTCGGCTCAGTGGTCTAGCTGTCAAGCGTTCGCCCGCGAGACCGACAGATACTGGGTTTGAATCTGGCGAGATGGGATCGTGGATGCGCACTGCAGAGGAAGCCGACAATAAGATGAAGTGGCCGTTCAATTTTTCCATGTTTTTCATGGTGGTCTAGCTTCGATTGACTCACCATCTCAACTATTGAAATAGTGCTTTATACATTATTACCCATTTTATTAATACTGGAATATGTTACATTTATGTGGGTTGATGGTCTTTTCTTTTTATGTCTTTCTAATTCACTTGAGACTACTAGAGTACATTTTTGATAGTTTTGGAAAATTTTTTTTGGTCAGTTATATACAATGTCATTGGTTGTTCATTTCATTTAGTCATTCTTACAGAATAAATTAATTGTTTTCTATAGTTTGTTGTATTATAAGTAATCTATCAAAATTCATCACACTTACAGTCCTTGAAATGTTAAAAGTGATAATCAGAAGGATTAAAAGTCAACATTTTTCTTATAGAAGAAATATGTTCAGTCATTTTCTTTTGTGTTAGTGAATCTCATGTTTAACAAGTCAATGTTCATCTCGATTACATGATAGTTTAACCCGACGGATGTACATATATTCTCTATTCTGTTTTCATGTAATTCTTTAAAAGCCTGTTATAAATACTTTGGTAGGATAAAATTTAAAAAAAATACTTATGTGGCCTCGTCAAAGTTAAATAGACAGCTAACATTAAGAGACTTTAAGGAATAATGTATAAAATATGGTTTCTCGGAGCAGATGTCGAAAGCAGTTTAATGTCCTAGTAGTAATCGGTACTCAGATAATTACTTAAGTTAAAGAAATTTCTGTTTTCATTCAATATGTATAGTAATTCCATGTAATTCTCCTAACACTTAGCTTGTAAATACATAGTGTAACACCAACACAAAAAGATAGAAAGAACCTTTCATTTAAAATTACTGAATGATTGGTTAGATATATACTTTTAGTTGAGAAATCGCAGTTAATTGGAAGCTAGTTGAGCTGAGAATTAATAAACATTTCATCGGTATTTCAAGCCAACTGATTAAGTTGCTTACTGCATTCGAAATAAGTGCTTACGAAATTAGACTTTGCAAAAAAATAGCAACCTGTCTTTGAATTTACACTATAAATTTGATTTCATTGACTTTTTATATTATCTTAATTTATTGAATATTTAGGATAAAATTAAAAGGTCCAGATGAACAAAATGTTAATGTTGTGATAATAATAAAAAATTATCAGTTCCGCTAAATACAATAAACCTATAAATTTTGACAATCTTTTTCTCTAAACAATAAGCCCTTAAACATTAGGTATAATCTTGATAATTGAAAAGTTCTGGAATATTATGTTATCCTAATTAGTACAGAAAAACACCATAACTTAAAGCAGAAGAACACAGATTTTCGAACTGAACATCACTTATAAATTATCCACTACTATTCATTAGCAAATACCGTGTAAAATGAATCACAAAGTTTATCATTATGAATCATTAGTTTTGTAAAATAAAATGAATGACAAGTTCATGAGAATATAAAAGAGAACAAATGGTATTCTATGTCCATTCAACTAAATATGTACCCGTGATTGCCAATTATATTTTAGTTCGTTTTTATTCTATTAGTTTCATATATATTGAAGAATAGAAGCCCATCTATTAACTTCTGTGAATATTGGTCTGAACGTTTTTTAGTAATGTGCATACGTACCTACTTGAGTAGCTGAATAAATCAAAATGAAAACGGTTTGTAAATATAGTAAAACCCAAGCTTTTGTTGTTTAGATAGTACGTGGATTTTAAATTACTTGTTATGTAATAGACCAACATGACTTATCTGATTGCAAGTCTCAAAGAACCACTATATATCTAAACCCTGAATTGTTCTGTAACGTACCCTAGACTTCCTGTTAAGTGTTATCACATAGTTAACACAGTCTTTGCTATCAAGATGAGTATCATCTATCGTTTTACGGCCAGATTCATAATGCGTTTCAAATTTTTGTTTCTGTCGATAATCTGCCTGTTTTTAGTAGAATATCTTAGCTACTCATAAATAATAAGTAACCAAAATTATGTACAAAAATTAAAAACCGTCATGATCACCTTTTCATTTCACAGCATTTTGCAAAGTCACTTGCTTCTCTGATTTGCTCTAAGTTTCTTTCGTGGAAATTTTTATCATGACGGTGAGCTTAGACAACACTTTCTCTAGGCAATCACAATCTACCAACATTTTTCATCAACCTGATGTATGAATCCTAAACAACACTTCACGTGGACAAAAGATATACACATGGAGATAGACTATACACCAAATAAAAGTTCTCTATTCAACAGCTAACTCAACAACTTTATATTCAACATTCCAATCGTATGTCTATCAATTGATGGGAACAATCCAACCCCAACCTCTGGGATATTGGCACTTAAAGAAACATTATCTTGGAGATATTAGTGTCAGAAATGCAGCGGAGTTTAAGGATTCAGAGAGAATTTAATGGATAGATTTTTAATTATTTGTTTGATATATTTCTGTAATTGTTGTTCTCTTATTGACACCTTTAATCATCAACTTATTGACTAGTTTAACTGTTTTCTAGAACAAGCGTCCAGTTATACAATACTTTTAATAGATCAAAGTATACTTCGTATTTCTAACAAACTCCTTGTTTGGGAACAAGTTTCCCTGTTTAATAAAAGCGAGGACAAACGTTAAGAAATCTTTGTCTTACAAAATATAAGTGGTGTCGATCTTATACCTTCTATATTACGTTTATCCCACTATCCGCTACTCAAAACATTCAGATTAGTAAAAAGCGAGAAAGAAAAAATTTGGAGAATACATTTAATCCATAGTATTCCGTTACTTTTTCTTCATATAAATATAAGCTGATGACTGTTATTAGTTTGGTGTATTAATAAATCTAACAAATGGCTTAGATATCAAGTTCTTTAATTGCATCGTCGTTTCATGCTTTGCCGGAATTGTGTGTACAGACGAACCACTGTTAACTATCCACATAAGTGATCGACTAAAGAGAACACTCGACACCTTACACGTTTGATGTTCCCGTCAACACAAGAGTTAAACGACTTTTCTGGATATAAATCACATTTTTTGGATTCATAACCTCTACTGATACATTTGAAAAGACCGACTGACTTTAATGCACTGTTTGCACTGACTTACTTCAAAATTCATGAGCTTTTTAATAGTTTTTCCTAAATTTGATCCAAAACCTTAGTGGCTCGTTCTATGTAATTATCGGAGAGACCAGGAAGTAGTTTATTATCTTATGGTGGATTTATACTCCATGAGTTGGAATTATTGTTCGGGGAATTTAACTTCTCGACTTGAATCGTCTATTGTGAAAGCTGAGAAGACAACCCAGGTATCCCTATGCCTTGTACAAATTTGTAAAAAAGACATCAAAGATTTCGAGTCAGCTGTAGATAATTAGTTATTATTTTATCCGATGGGACTGATGGTTAGTATGTAACTCTATTTGGTTTACAATTCAAGATCAGTACTGACCATAACACTTTCATTCATGTATTCACACACTTTCCTGTTCTACTTCAACTCTAATGATCAGTGAATAAAAAGTATTTGATTCTAGGTCAACAATCTAAAATATGTTTGTATGTGTACACATTTACCTTCTTGATTGAACTTGAGGGTATTATTGGACAACATTCAGTTTAGCAAGATTGTTGACAAGTCATAAAGATCTTGATTTCAACAGTCTTAATAGTCAGGAACGAACTGCTGTAGTAAACAGTTAATAATAATAGTCGACTGACTATAGTTGATCTAATGTTTAATACTTGAGGCTACTCTTCCAACTTGAAAAAAAAACGCAGTTGAGCAGACGACACGTGTCCGTGTTATTCCATCCTGTCTGAATTACAAGCTACATTAAGGTTAGTAACTTTGTGAAGTAAGATTAATAGATTACGAGTGCTGCTTTTCATCATTACTTCCCTGCCCATTTGAAGAATGCAGCTATGTGGATAATATAGGGTTGCAAAACGTTGATTTAATTGATAGAGAACACAAGTAGAAACTACTTGGAATCAAACACATTATTCTTAAACGTTCGACAACACCTGTCTAAGATATAAAAGCGATATATTTTATGAAAAAGGAAGGAAAGTTAAGAGAAAGAAAAGTGAAATTTCATGTTTTAGCTTTTTTCTTTTCAAGAAACAAATAATCATTGATTCAGTGTCCTATCATTTTGAAAATTCGTTTCACATTTCCTATGACTATTGTATAAACAGTGGTGCTTTTCGTATGGAAATAATGTTATCTATATCTTGTTCACTCTAGTTTGACTTAATGGATGCCTGTGCATAAGAATAAAAACAGTATGTTTGCATACAGTTGGATAATCACATCATCATTTTTATTTTATCGAACTCTTCTTTTCTTCTTTCTAGTTTGTCTCTTCTTATTTCTCATTTCAACTATTTGTTGAGCTTGTTTCTTTAAAGCAGCTCTAGTTAACACTTCATTATCATCCGCTCCACCATCATCATCTAGATAATTAGAAAAAAAGAAAACAATACGACAATATTGTAAAACGTTTGTATTTTACACAAGTTATACAATATCACATAAAACTTTGGTAGAATTTACAGTATTTACTTGTGGGTCATAAATTAAAATTTAGCTGTTGTTAGAATTTTGAAGCTATAACCCGAAACTGTTGCAAGTCAGATTCTTTAATAAATGAACAACCACAGTTACCACCACTGAAACAGACAGTGAACTGAATACATGAAGACTACTTCAGTTAATCGACTATTATAGTTTTACTAGCATAAAACAAATTGTACACATTTTATTGTTTGAAATATTGTGTACAGTTTTTACTATAAATGTATTCCAATAAAAGATGTATTCATATTATTGATAATTTATTTGAAATTTAAACTACAAAATATATTTATACTTTTAATTGCCTATGATTACTTCATACTTACCATCAGGGTTACCTTCATTCTTTACTTTTGGAAATTGTATTCTTATATTGTTCTCTGGTAATTTACTATCAAGCTTTGTGTAAAACTTGAATATAATTTTTTAAAAAGAATAAATATTACTGATTTTAAATTAGCAATATAAAATAATATAAATAAAATCGAGATGAAAATAAAGTAACATGAGAAATTTGTATAAAGATAAAATTAATTTCGAAATTATTTTAATTAGTAAATTATTTGAATTTGAAATCAAATAAATAAATAATAGTTGAAATCATGAGTCAATTGAAGCTAGACCACCATGAAAAACCTGGTAGCACTGGACGGCCGTTTGGTCCCACGGTGTTAACACCGTTGAATGCCGGTTCAGTGGTCTATCGGTTAAGCACTCGCGCGCGAAACTGATAGGTCCCGAGTTCGAATCTCGCCGGGGACGCGGTCGTGGATGCGCACTGTTGGAGAGTCCCATACTAAGACGAAACGGCCATCCAGTGCTTCCAGGTTTCCTATGGTGGTCTAGCTTCAATTGACTCACGATTTGAACTATTGAAATTAATCATATCTCCACAAAACCCCTTCTGGAAATAAAAAATAATGATAATAATTCATTCAATACCTTATGTAATTTATTCAATAAAAACTCTTTCCATAATTAATATGAAATTATATAAAAGACAATAAGATCTGATGGATTTGATTTATGGTTAACAATGGAGTAAATGATCAGTGTTTCTTATTATTTAAGGGTCATCATCTATGTTGTTTACATATCAATAGACAGTGAATAATGATGATCATTTAATACTTAATAACAACGAAACAACTCAAATTCTAACATACATAATATGGAAAAGATTGTTTAAATTCTTGTCTTTTTAGCTTATTCCATTTAGAATGAGTTCTTTTAATAAATAAAAAGAAACAAATTATATGATCGAAGTGTTGATTTTGAGTTTTCTCCACGGTGATTTATTAACAGAATGTCTATTTTTTTTAATAAAAATAATGCTTTAAAACTACCTTTTAAAATCATATTTTATTCCATAAAATATATAAGATTTAAGAAGGATTAATCGATCTCCATTAACATGATGGTTACTGAAATAAATGCTTTATTACTGGCACTTTGTTTAAATATTGAAATTTTAATCTGGATAATAGATTCTCTTTGATATTATCAATACAATCTTGATTATTTGCAAATGAAAAGTGTAAACATTTACAAAATTTAAAACCCGTTACATATTTTGTGGATCTGATGACTCTATCACCTGGTGGAATATTGATATAAATGTTCAGTAGAAGAAAACATAACTCTTTCAAAATGTATAGATATCAGATGATTTTAAAAAAAATCTTATTTAATATTTTTTTTCGTTTCAATAATCATAAATTTTGAAAACTTTTCATGGTCAAAAAAGTGGGTTTTTTTTAATTCATATTTCTATTTTGAACAACAAATTTTTCTTGATTTTTAAATTATACAAATAGTTCACAAAATGTCATCAATGAATGATCAAAACACAGTCAGTAAATAAATCTTTTTTTACTGGTTATTTGAGTCTTCCCATTGTTATTTAGAACTGCAATTAGTCAGTCTTTTATTGGCATATGTGCATACTGTGCGTATTGCCAAGAGATTGCCTTAATTCACAAGCATTATAAGCAAATATCGATAGGGGCTAGCAGTGGGACCTAAGACATGTGTTTCGTCCGATTTGAAACTCGTCAACTGGGTGTACTTGATGCTCACTCTGGGATTCGAACTCAGTACTGTTCGCTTCAAATTCCATCGCACTATCCACTTAGCAGAGTTCATATAGCCACTAGCTGGGTTCGAGTCCCGTGATGATGGACAACTCTCAGAATGCAGGTACATCCAGTTGATGAGTTCCAAATTGGACGAAACGCGCGTCGTGGATTCCACTGCCAACTACTGTCTATCTCTACAGTCACTAAATACTCTTTTAAAAAAGGTGTGTAAAATTAATTTAAATAAATAGTGAATATAAATTTGCTATGTGCTTTATAAATGGCTTTTAAAATAATTACTAACAAAAGTAATGTTCCAATGATGACGCATAACCGAAAGTTGAATGTTGCTACTTAATTGATGAAGAGGAATCAACGGAGATTGAATTTACGAATCGATCTAAGCCAGACCACCATTGAAAACCTGAAAGCACTAAACTTCCGTTTGGTCCTAATATGGGACTCTTCAGCAGAGCGCATCCACGATCCAACACGTGGAACTCGAACTCAGGTTAAACTCCGTGTGCGAGAGAAAAAGTCCTGAAATCGAGTTCCGCGTGTTGGATCGTGGATGTCCACTGATGAAGAGTCCCATATTAGGACCAAACGAAATTCTAGTGCTTCCATGTTTTCAATGGTGGTCTAGCTTGAATGGACTCGTGAATTCACCTATTTAAATACTACTATCTCCACAAATCCTTATGCTAAAAATTGAATTATGAAAAATAATTACTAGTTATCTGTTTATATATTTTCCATCGCTCTAATTTTGATAGAAATTTTACAAACATTTGTAAGATTTTACGGTTATCATTTAGCACATATATGTTTCTCTTTTCTATTTAAACAAGTGGCAAATTTATTTCAAGACAAAAAGGACATTTACACTATCCAATTCACAATAAATATCTGCTTTCTATACAAGTTCATTCAAAATGAATAAATTGAGTAAAAAAATAAATCATTACTATATGGTTAATGATCATCAGTTCATTCTTTTATTCACAACATTTTACTTAAAAACGAACTCGTAATTATGTTATTTTGATTATATATTTCGCAAAGAAACATCAGCTATAATTCGTTAATAGAACAGTTAGTCATTACTCACTTACTTACTTACGCTTGTTACTCCTAATGGAGCATAGGCTACCGACCAGCATTCACCAACCCACTCTGTCCTCCGCCTTCCTTTCAAGTTCTATACAATTTTTGTTTATTCTCCTCATGTCTGTCTCTATTTCTCAACCTAATGTGTTCTTTGGTCTTCCTCTTCTCCTCCTTTGACCTTGAGGATTCCATGTGAGGGCTTGTCATGTGACGCAGTTGGGTGCTTTCCCCAATAGGTGTCCCATTCACTTCCAGCGCTTCTTCCTGATTTCTTCCTCTACTGGAATCTGGTTTATTCTCTCCCAAAGTAGGTTATTGCTAATAGTGTCCGACCAACAGATCCGAAGTATTTTGCGTAGATAACTGTTAATAAACACTTGTATCTTCTGGATGATGGCTTTCGTAGTTTTCCAAGTTTCCGCACCATACAGTAGAACTGTCTTGACATTTGTATTGAAAATCCTGACCTTGGTGTTGGTTGACAGTTGCTTTGAGAGTTATTCGTCACTTCTTTCAAAATGATCTATCATTTTTTTCACAACAATTACTTCCATGATCTTAATAATTTCACTTAGGTTTCATAATCACAAATACATTTACAATGAATGATTACTGAATAGGGAGCAATGTCATACTATATCTAGTTCATAATACTCATTGAATTCCATCAATTTTAATCCTGAAAAAGGTAAACTGTTCCTAAATACTTCAATGATAAGGTCTTTGATTTTGTCAGTTTCATTTTACTTAATTTCATTAAAATAAAAGGAATTGAAAATAAATATCTTTAAAAATATACTTACTTCTTCTTGTTCTATTAAATTAAGTTGTTCTTCAATATTAATATTATTTAAACTACACATAAGTTCATCTAATTTATTATTACATATTTTCAACATTTCTGGTATATCACTATTATCAATAATATTTTGTTCATCTTTAATTAATTCTTCATCTTTTTCTTCATCATCTTTATGAAAATGTTCTATACCTTTTGTTATGTGTACATTTAAAAAAGATAATTTATCGTAAATATGATCAACTCCAGTTTTACATTGAATTAATAAATGATTAGCATTTTCTAAATTTTGATAACACTTTATACGACGTTCATTTTCTATTTGTGCTTCATTTTGATGTTGTTTTATTACTTGATTAGCGCTACAAGAAAATATTTTTAAAAAATTAACTTTATAATTATGTATGAAAGTATAAAATTTATATCGTTACATCCAAGAATATTGTTTAAATTGAATGTGCATCTATAGCAACTCACGTTCAATTGGGTTTGCCCTCATCTAATTTGTTTAAGCCCTTTTGTTAACTTAATAAACGGACAAAGTCATCTGCACTTTAAAAACTTATTCTACCTTTATTATTGTTATGCTTGTATGAATAAGCATGCTTGAACATTGTTGACTGCCCACGCATATATTCATCCCACTAACCTTATTATTATTCACTTGATCGATTCGATAGTCCATTCATTTTTCTATATATATATATATATATATATATATATATATATATATATATATATATATATATATATATATATATATATATATATATATATATATACATGTATATTTAACACTCTACACATTCTCACACAATCACGGTTTGCTGACTCATTCGCCTCTCTGCTCTGTGATTTGAGTTACCTGCTAATAAAACTGTAGTAGCTGCTTCTCTTTGCCTTCTGATTTCAACTAGCGTTGGGGTTTATACGATAACGGTTACGAGGGTGATTGGTCAACGAAACACAGCCACTACACATCAATTTCGCCTAAATTTTAAAATTTGAATGACTTAGGTAATTACTGATAGCTATGACTTGGGTAATATCAGTGTATGTTTAAAATCTTGTGTATGTTTTAAAAAATCATACTATTTAACTATTTCAAGGTTTCACTCAAAACCAATAACTTCCTACAGTTTAAACTACAGTAAACTGAATTTCAGCTTCCATAATACTTTCGAATTTCCATATGTAATAATGTTACGATGAATTCTTAATTTAAGAAATATTTAAAACGATGCTGCATAGGGCAGCTTAAAATATTTTAAAGTACCTTTCTATTTCCGTTTCTCCTGAATACTTAAGTTCTTCAAAATCTTGCTGTAGTTGATCCCTTTGTTTACGAAGTTTCTGACATTGTTCTTCAGCCTTGTCTTTTAATTCATTTAAATTTCTTAAAGTTTCCCCTTGACTTTCAAACCTCTTAACAATCTGATCAAGATCAGACAGTCCAGTAACTTCTTTAATAGTTTTAAATGACTCCTCATATTTAGATATTTTAATTTGTTGTTCCTCTGTTATACTTATCCCACCTGTTCCCGAAATTCGTTCTCCAGTACCAATGCTGTCTCCTTGAACACTTCCGCTTTGTACGTTAGCAGAAGAAAGTGACTCTCTGCCTTGCTAAATGTTGTATAAAAGAGTACAAATAATATTTTTCTCGGATGGTTATTTCAATAAATTAATCTGGATTACCATTATTTATCGAGATACAAAAATAACAAATACATTTCAGACAACTGAGCGACAGATAGATGAATGATGATTCGAGAAATAGAAAATAAACATTTAAGTTGGTTCAAAATTACTTATAGTAGATGGGGAATCAAGTTTATTTCTATAATCATGAGCTTCAACGTGAACACTTTACGTTCATTTCGAAAGTTTCAGTGCAACGTTTTCCTGAAGCATACATTATGCTAAACTTACTTTAAAATACTTGTTCATAAACATAACTTTAAGAATCACATAATGGGATATTACATGATTGTGTCATCAATTACTCTTATGACTTTATACAAATGAATGTAGAAATAGTTGCATGACAACTATTTTCTCCGTTTTTTTTCACTATTGCTTGAAATCTCCATAAAATTGTGGTCTGAAAATACGAGAATTTTTGTGAAGTTTTCAATAGTTTTTTATCGTAATAAACTTTTTGCGATACTTTTTCTCTTGCTAGTAGTTCAAACTGATTAAAATGATTGTTATTCTTTGTTAGTTACAAGAGCGGACCAATATTCAGCGCTTTATCTAGTAGTTATTTCACTTTTGCTTAGAATTGTTCTGTTGACTGACTTTTATGACAATAAAAGTTGACTTCATATTATATGGACACTCATGAGTGATATGATCCCCAGTCTTAAGAAATAACTATTATTTATTGACTAGATATTTTCATGTGGTTAAAGACTGAAGTACCCCGTATTTGATGTCAGATTTTGGAAGGTGACTGGTAGCAAACCCTACACAACATTAAGTCCGGGTCACAAAGGAACATGCAGACCTTCACTAAACCACATTCCACCAGATGTTTGAATCCGAATCTAAGAAAGTTATATTCACAGATATTTTACATGCTCTAGCAGAACCAACTTTCATGCTGTTTGCATACAGTGAGTTGGAAATTGCAATTAAATTTTTATCAAAACATAGGTTTTTATCGAGGCTGTGAACAATGATTCCTAGTGATTTTAGACAGACATAAAGTTTAAGCATCTTACTGTTGCTTTTGATCAATTACAGAAAAACTTTTTCCATTTACTATGACGAAAATGGGTGTATTTAGTTAGTCAGAATAACATCTCAAAAGTTTCAACTGTAAAACTGTAGTTAAGATGTCTGCAACAACCTACTTTGGGAGAGAATAAATCAGATTCCAGTAGAGGAAGAAATCAGGAAGAAGCGCTGGAAGTGAATGGGACACCTATTGGGGAAAGCACCCAACTGCGTCACATGACAAGCCCTCACATGGAATCCTCAAGGTCAAAGGAGGAGAAGAGGAAGACCAAAGAACACATTAGGTTGAGAAATAGAGACAGACATGAGGAGAATAAACAAAAATTGTATAGAACTTGAAAGGAAGGCGGAGGACAGAGTGGGTTGGTGAATGCTGGTCGGTAGCCTATGCTCCATTAGGAGTAACAAGCGTAAGTAAGTAAGGGCGGCTTGTCGATGAATCCTGTAGTTATTAAGAAAGAAACTGTCTTAAGATTACTTCAACACCTCAAACCAAATAAGTCCAGTGGTCTTGACGATATTCATCTTAAAATTATGAAAACCCTATCAGATATAACTGCTGAACCTCTGGTTATACTGTTTGATATGTCCTTGCTGCAGGTCGGACCATCAAGAGACTGGTACGGCGCAGTAATCAGTCCAGTTTTTAAGATGGGGAGCAGAAACTTAGTTAGTAACTATCAACCATTAGTCTGTAGTGACCTACTTTTATCCACAGAACGCGATTGGTGTAATGAAAACAATTACTATTATAACCATTTGTACCAGTGATTGTTTTACTGTACTTGTTTGTCTGACTGTACTAAAGACATTCTTTCTTCCGTTGATTGTGACCTCGCACGCTCTTAGGTCCGCTCAGTGATTCCGCTTGTACTCCTTTGGCACGATCTCGGTATTCTTTCGATATCACGAGATCGCCAACAAATATATCCCGCTAAAGCCTTCAATAGCCTGATTTCTGGTACGCAACCTTCTTGTAGTGATGATCATAGTCAAACGCGACTCGACGCCATGCTACAAGTCCAACCAGTGTAGTCGTCAAATTAATGGTGGAGATTATTCCGATGGCTGTTATAAACTATGTGGGGGGGAATAATTTCTAGTTTAGGGAGCATCACAATCTTAGAAAAGACCCATCATGCTTGACAAGATATCGGGCTGCATCAAAAGATAGAAATAACCCTGCAGATGTAAGTTTCATAGACTTAAGTAAAGCTTTTGACAAGAGCTCTCATCTGGTTTTTAAATTAAAACTGGAAAGTTTTGGAATCCATTATGAAGTCATAGACTAAAAAAATGCTTTTTTGAACGGTAGGAGACAGAGGATAAAGGTAAATGAAGCTCTCTCAAGGTGAAAATACGTAAAAAGTGAGACTCCTCAGGGCACAATCCTCCGTCCTATCCTTTTTTTACTTTATGTAAATGAACTCTCAAATATAGCAAAGTCATCCTTTCCACTATTTGAGGATAATATAAACATCTGGAGACCCATACATAGTATTTCAGATAGAATATCATAAGATGAAATAAATGCACTAGTTTCATGGATTGGCAGATGGTCATCACAAGTAAATTCTAACAAGTGTGATGATGTAATTAAATAACTATGACGATTCATCTTACCACACAATATGGGGAGTTATATTACCTAAAGCAATAAACTATAAAGATCTAGAAGCCATAATAAACAGCGACCTCAAAACTACGAGTATCTGCAAGGCTGCTGCTGCTTAAGGCTTCAGGGTCTTGTGAGATATTTGCAAGTCTTTTCAGCACCTGAATGAAATGTCTAGAGTACTGTGCCCAAATTTCGTGGGGCCGTATTTGAAATATGAAATTCAAGCAGAGTTCCTGTTTTAATTACGAGGCGAATATGCTAGAACGAGCCCAACGACGAAAGATCAAAATTGTAAAATGTATCCCTGGTCTATCCTATGAAGACAGATAGACATCTCAAATTATTCCCCTTATCTTGTCGCAGATTACATGGTGATCTGACATTGGCCTATCTTATACTGAACATCGACCTTGATACAAATATGTCTTATCTTTTCCTTTCGTCTAGGACTGACAATTTGAGGTAACATTCTTAAAACGTTCAAAAGCCGAGATCAAGTCGTTTACTTCTGGAGTTTAATTCCTCGTACCGGATAGTAAATTAATGGAATTCTCTATCAAAATCTTCTGTTGATACATTCAAAACGAGATTAAACATCCACAGTATTAAAGGTCGATAGACCTATCCTTATTACTGAAGACTGAATCATATTTTGTAAATAAGAAGTTCTGTAATAGATTCAGCCTAAAAATATCTTACTTGGTAGTCACTCCTATCGACAGCGAGCTTCTTGCCCTCGGCAATCCTTTTCATGTTTGCGAGTTCTATTTCTCGACGTCGACGTTCGTTTGCTGTATGTTCTTCTTGAAATTTCAACTCCTGTTGTGCGGTATCCCTGGCCACAATTGCATCATTATACATTCGTTGCAGTTCTGAAACTTCAACCTGAGTAGCTTTTATTTGCTTTTCAAGAGAGTCCAGACTGTGTTCATATGTTAGATGTTCCTAAAAAAAATCTTTTGTAAAAGTATATTCAGCTAACATCTTGAAGCTTTTCTTTTATTTGTTCATAGGTTTTCCTGATGTGTTCTGCTTCGTGGTATTTAAGCAAAGCTTTATCAAGTCGGTTTTCTAAGTTTCTTAACATTTTTCCCTCTTTATTAGTTCCTGCATAAGTTGCGTTTCCATACTCAATAAGTTCCGTAATCTCTCTATACTGTGATTTTATCTCTTCTATTTTCTTCTCCTTTTGAACAGTCATATGCTTGAGAGAGTTAAGCTTTTTTCTTGCATCACACGTGCGATTGTCCAAAAGTTCGATTACCATCTAGAAAATAGCTTTTATTTCCCTATATCGGTCACTCACTGCCCCAGTTTTATTAGACATGCAAACCCTATCAGCCTGCCGGTTGTGCAGGACATGATTGATAATATGTTGATCAGCCTTTCGTAAAAAAATAATTTGAAATTCATGCTACCGAAAGCCTTTCTCGAAGGATATTTCTTAGTTTATTATTTTCAAGACGAAGATCTGATACTCGTTTCTTATTTTCTGAAACAGCTTGTACGGAATTTTCATAATATGCTTTACGATCACCCTCTTAAATAATTAAAACTGAGTCAGTTTACCAAGCAATGCTATTTTTGCCTTCAATTCGTCTAGTCGCTGTTGTGATACAGGTTCCATATCCTTAAACCTACAAAATCCCGCTTCTTTCTGCTACTAAGCAACGACTGTCCTTGATTCCAACACTCTAAATGGTTCCAATGGTTGTGGACGGAATAGAAGCTTTCGCTTAACAGGCTTGCGTGTCTGGTAGCAAGGGATCACCAATACCTCCATGCAGGAACATAGGTATATTATTGATGAAATAGAAAAAAAAGATATTGGCAAATCATAGTAAGATACTATCGTTAGTCCTTAGGAATAGATCAAGTCGCCTCTTAAAGGACTCCTGGGAAGTTGGTTGGACTAGTTCAGCCGGCAGCGAACTCCAGCTTTTGGCAACTCTTAAGGAGTAGAAGTTGTGCCTTCAGTCCGTTCTGCTATGTTGTATCTCTAATTTCTGGTTGTTACCCTTTAGGTTAGTATTGGGACTAAGCACAAGTAGGTGTTTAAGAGGATGTCCAGAAGTGTAAAGGATACTTTAAGCGAATAGTAGGCCACCTCTAAGACGCCTATACTCTAATGGGTAAGGGTTAAGTGATTGGAAATTGGTTTCTTTGTATTAGCGTTATGATATCTTTTGAAATGCTTCAGATCTTAGAGGGAATTTATTGAGGTTGTGCTCTTTATACTCAGTAGTTCTTGTGAATTCCTCAAGTATTTTGGAGGTAAATAGGCGCATTTTCCGGTGTCAATGGCCTAGCTGAAGCTGGATGTCCTTACGGCAACAGGTAGCCAATTTTAGATCCCATTGGGCTTCTAATATTGGAATAAGAAATCCAAAGGTATGTAAAAGAGATATGTGGTGAAAATATGAGTAATTAGAAAGAAGTGATAATTATATGCACTACCGAAAGTAAAGGAGATTCCTGTCCAACATCTGAAGAAAATTGTTCTCACGTCAATTCGGATTACATCCTACGTTGCTCAGGTTTGTAATGACAGAACAGTGAATCCCATCTTAATATTCGTCCTCTGATCAATAATTATTTGGTTGGATAAACATAGTGGCCTTAGGCTTATTTGTTTAGTTATTGGGACTTATCAGTCTAAACACCTTTAATTCTAAACGTGCGCACTTATATTATTATCTATTTTTTGTTACACCATCCTTAGGCATACATCTGTTACTTGTAGTTTTAAAAAATATTGGTAACCGTTACGGCCAAAACTTTACCCAGTACATAATACGTGATTGTTGAACTACACATTTTCTATCTGAGGACTCGACGAATTCGAAGCCTAATCCCTGGTTTACATATCTTATAAATTTGTGCGGTAAGAAAATTCAAGAAATAAATAGTTATGTAGGTCTTCAACATGGATGCTGACTTCATTTTATCTACTTAATACAACTTAGGACACTTAGTCAATGAATTACACAAGGTCATCATTGTGTACGCCGTACTACTCATCTCTCGTAGCTACTAGCCGGCTTAGATCACATACTTTTTAACACATCGAAAACTTTCTAAATAAGTCCTCGGACTTCTTTATTCCTGACTTCCGGTTTGACTGGGTTCGGTATCCTTCGATCACAAACGTGTTACGGACAAATGCGTTGACAAACCCTGAACGCCTGTGGCATTTCTAAGGGTTAAATTGACGTGTCTAGTACCCCGAACGACAAACTGTAAGTTTATTCCTTCTTATAACATTACATTTAACATTTTTCTTCTACATGTTGTGACACTTTTTCTTCATTCTCGCGATTCTTACTCCTATTTACATATTTTGTAGTCATAATGACGGAACACACACACAGTGTGAAAGATTGTGACGCCCACACCTCACAATCTACAACTAATACCATTCAAGCCTGGTAATAATGGGGCACGTTTCTGATACACAAAAGCTAACTTTCACAAACAGTGTAACAGAAACACGTGTGCCATTCTTCGATGAGACAAACGCATAGCTATAATATCAGTGTTTAGTAGTGATTAACTCAGAAGTGATAAATGAAATACATACAAACACAGGACCTATCACACCGACATTACAAAATGGATTACTTTGGTATCCTGATTGAGTCACCGTAGTGGACTTATCAGACATAATGAGTTGGTTGACAAAGGCCTCACGAGCACGAACAATTTGACTAACTGTCAGGTTATATCATCTGTGATGTTCAGAGATGTCGACTTCTCTAAAGAATCACAGGTATACAGTCAAGAGTCAAAGTCGTACTGTAAGCTGACCGTTCAGCCAGTCATGTGCACCGGTTTAGTCTGCCACACTACATTAACTGACGATTGTTGAAGGTCGATGAAACTACGATATCACAAGTTTTGGAAGATGAATCCAGCCTAGAATATATCGTTTTCCCTTCATATCTATCGTTTTATCATAGAATTCAGTCATCTACTTGTCTCCTTGCTTACAAGTTTTATACCAGTAGCAAATATGTTTAAAAAGTCATACCATGTGGAGAAAACAAACACTTGTGGTTTGAATAAAGCAAGAACAAATATTGATGCAGAATAGTATGAATTCATAATATTTCGAGGTTTCTCGTCAGCTGCTTACAACCAAATATGTGATAAAAATTTTACATTGAGATAGTGTAAAACAATTGGCATAAATGAATGTAAATAACTGGAATGGCAAAGTTTTACATGATGATGCAAATTTCTTTAAAGAGCATTGAAATAACGCTGTGAATAAGTCCTGAATGGCCGATGAATTTACGATCAAACTGTGTCTAAGACCAGGTTAGTAAGTGGAACGATAGCTTTGTGGCTAGAAAGCTTGACATTTTACTAGTAGGTACCGGTTTCGAAGCCTGGAACACCTACTTTGGTTTGGGTAACCAGATAGTATCAACGACCTTGGGTGTGGCCTATCGCAGGGAACCTAAACCTATAAATGGGCTACAACACTAAGTCAATAGACATAATTTCATAGAATACCTTTCTACATAACCTTTCGGTGACCCTTTGATTTACCACCGATTTGGTTATACGTATGGGTATGCTACGAACATAAATATTCAAACTAACTCCGTATATTACCTGGTTTAACGCCGTTTGTGACGGCGGCAATAGGAGGCCGAATACGGGTCGTGTTTATCCAGACACATTCAGAATGAAAGCAGGAAAGAGAAGCAGAGTTGGTTTATTTGCCTTCGCCAAAATCACAGCGGTTCTGGAATCTATCGCCACTGTGGTGAAACTATACGAAATATTACTGGTACCGTTTCCCGATACTTAAAATGAAGTTGAAGAATTTCTCTGAATACATTACGTTACAAGTTTCAAACGAAACCTCAACGGATAGTACGTCTCAAATGATCACATTTCTATCTATCTGAACTATCTAGTTATTTATACTACGAGTGAAGTTCCAGGGAAAGAGGGAACGCCAGTTGACAATATTAAAAGACCAGTAGCCAGATTGAGCGCCCTGGACATTTCGTATCGAGAAGTGAGTGGAGTATGTGGGGGAAAATCTATCATAAGGCTATGACACAACACAAGTGTGTAGCCATTGACCTGGTCTAGACGAAGAAAGCTTCTTGCCTAGAACTTTATCTGGCAAACAGGGATCGGAAAGAATCAGAACCGACTGTGATGGAGGGTATGTACTAATTGCTTATTACTCCGAATCTACCTCATACAGATAGATAATGTTTTTGTTCATTGGTACTCTTTTCTCACGTTGTTGAGTAATATGGTGAGAATATACAGGTCTCACTTCGTTTATGTTACATAACGAAGGGTTATTTCCTTCGGAACCTGCAGACCGAATTAAAATGGGAGTGTGATACTTCCATTTGTCGATTGCTTTTATCTAGACGGCCAAACAGCTATTCCACAAGTTTTTTATTTCTATGATTCTCGTTTGTATCAGTGCTTTTAAAAAAATGAAATCACAAATTGTACCATAATGATATCTCTCTGGTGTCTTGAGAAGCTGAAATTTCGAGGTTTTACGGTTAGGGCAATCTAAATTTAGTACCATGGATAAAAAAGATAATGACCTACATAGATCAATCTGTCGTTGAAATTAAAGAACTAAGGTTTGAATGGACTCTTTGTTTGGTATGCATCAAAGTAACATGACCTAAAGACTTGGAAAGTCTGAGGTCTTGGTGGTTTGAGCTCAAGGTACCAGACATAAACTCTCACTCGTGCAAGGAATCAAACATCCAGATATTTAATAACATTTAAGTGCCATTGAATTGCAGTAATTAACGTAATTAAATGTCTTGAAAAACATTAGAAAGTCTCTGAAGTAATTTTGAATACGTACACGTAGAGTTAGCAAATCTAACGCCCAATAATTCTGGTTTTACCACCTCGTCTGCGAAATCAGCTGTCGTACTCCAGACAAAAGCTCTACTGCTGCTGCAGTTTGGACGTAAGTACATATTTTTAAGGAGATAATGGTTGGCACAAACCTAAATTGCTATAAAGTAATGTGTATAAGAACCTTGTACGTGCGATCCCGACGCATTAATAGGCGATAGCAACCACTGGTCCTGTTACGTAGAATTTTTAGCACTCCAACCCCACGCTCCTTCCATTCTGGGGGATCGTCAATAGTGTCGAAACGAAACAGCTGTGCTCTCCTGAAAGATCAAGTGACCGGATTTAAATAAGAAAGTACTGCTTGAATAAACACTCTTCATTCTCCTCAGAACTACAGACTGTTAAAGGGGGAAGAGTAATAACAGGCTCAAAATATAGGTCAGGGTCTTCGTGCTAAGCAATTTAACGAAAGGAATTATTCGTACTTCTGAAACGCTATGCATTATCGCCACTAGTAATTGGAAAGGCCAGCTAGTAGTTTGTTTGCGTCTATGTAATTTGCCTTTGCGCAGACGAGGTAAAGTGACAGCAGACCAAATACCACGGGATTCTAGAAGGAGAAATATGTAGTGTTAAGTCAAAAGCTAAACACCGTTATCATATTTACTAACGACAACAACCAACAGGAATTACTGATGAGTGTGTAAACTAAAAATGAACGTGTAATGTGTAAGGATATCAAAGCAACACAACGGCCAACCAATGATCACTCAAGGTTGTTATTGCGTCTTCAACATCCAATAGGCTAACGGAATATATCGACC